CGAGCGGGATGAGCCCGGACAGGGCTGTTCAGCGGGCAAAGGAAGACGATAGCAAATAAAGCAGGAACAAAGACAGCCTTGAGACCTGCTGGCTTAAAACAGAAGAAATTGCATGTTTTGGAGAAGAGGGCAGAGGCTGGCCTGGATAGAGAGCGGCAGAGGCTGGGTACGGCTGCCCCTCCTGCTGATAAGGGCTCTGGTAAAGCTTGGCACGGGACACGGCCTGCTGCAATCAGAGTGACCAATAAATTCTGCTTCTTCCAGAAAGGCCATCACTGCGGCTGCCTTTTGCTGTCACTGGGATGGTTTATCTCTAAAAAGGAAAGATGGAGACGGAAGGTGGAAGTCCATGGGAGTGGGCATGGCCCAGTGTGGGGCCAAGAGGTGAAGAATGACTTAGGGGGTCTTCCAGCAATACCAAAGGATGGAAGGATGCCTAGGGGAAGAACATGGGGAAATCCATCCCCGGCGGACAGCAAAAGAGCCCCCAGTTTTCCTCAAGCTGGGGATAAGCACACTGCAAGGTATTGCTGTGGGTGCGCCTGGGGAAGGGAGATCCCCCTTTGACTCTGTGAACTGGGAAAAGTTGCAGAAGTTGCCCCCACTTGGCACATTGTGGTGAAGATTCACCCCACGCACCCGTGCCCCCAAACACCCCCCCGGCAGGCAGCCCCTGCGCTGGGAGCTCTGAGCATCCAAAAATTGCCAGCCAGGTGTCCGCCCCCAAGCCATAAAGTGAGTGATTTTAAAATGTGTTTAAGATGAAGTCTTTCTTACACGAGTGGAGGAGGTGGATGGATGCCCTGGAGAAGCCCCAAGCAGAGCACAGGGCTGGGACGGGCTGGGCTGTCATGCCTTTGCTTTTGCCAAGCGCCGCGCGGCGCCCGGGGCTGCCTGCAGTGAGTCCTGGTGATGTCCTGGCTGAGATCACCCCGCCACCCCTCTACCAAACCTTCGGGGCTGTATCTGCCTGGCTTCACCTCTGAGGGTGCTATGGACCTCTGTTGGAAATGTCCTCTGGACCTGCCCAGCGTAGCAGGTTCCCTTACAATGTCTTTGGGGCTGGCTCATCTTCAAAGCCCCTGGAAGCCTTTCACAAGGAGTTTAATCTCATGCTCTTCCATCCTGTCGGGTAACCACCCCGTGGCACTGATGCAGCTGCTGGAGATGATGTGAAAAGCGCTTGGAAGGAAACAATCTCCAGGACCGGCACAGTGTTCTCATAGAATCACAGAATGGTTTGGGTTGGAAGGGACCCCCAGAGGTCACCCAGCCCAACCCCCCCGCAGGAGCAGGGACACCTTGAACCACATCAGGTTGCTCACAGCTCCGGCCAACCTGGCCTGGAATGTTCCCAGGGATGGGGCCTCCACCCCCTCTCTGGGCAACCCCTGCCAGGGTTTCACCACCCTCACTGGAAAGAATTTCTTCCTTAGATCCAGTCTAAACCTCCCCTGCTTCAGTTTAAAGCCATCCCCCCTTGTCCTGTCCCAGCTGGCCCTACTAAAAAGCTTGTCCCCCCCTTTCCTCTGGGCCCCCTT